TAATAGCAGAATATTCCATTAATAACATTTCTAGAACATTTTTTTGGAATGATAAATATTGACGGGCTATATATGTCCTCAAGCTGAATGAAAATTTTCAACTGTTCATTTCACAATCCCTCAAATAAAAGCCTTTTGACTCGCGCAGTTTAATATAAAAAAAAGGACAAGCATGGGATAACTTATCTAACTGGTGTCATTAACGTCGACGGCTTGACAAACACTGATTACCATTGGAAAGCTCGGTTGGAGGGAAAAAAGAAAATAGAAAAAAGGGGTTAGGGGACACAACGTCGATTCTCCTTTATCAACTAAAATTGTGGTAGAGAAAAATGTCGAATTTACTCTTTTCCCCTTTTATCAAAGATCAGCAAACAGTAGGCGTGTGTCGATCCATTGGTTTACGGTATATTCGATAATGAATATTCCAATTTTATTTAAAAGACTTACTTTCGGGGAAAAACTCTTCCAAGTTGAACGCCTCATTATTTTTTTCAATTTAATTTCATTCGTGTCCATCTTTTCTTTTTACTAATAGAGGCATTTTTCACGATGAAAGAGACTCTTTTTTAGGAATAATTTTTTCGCACATGTGGTACATTCCCTCTGACGCTTATCTCACTAGAAGAAAAAAATATGGATTTTTTTTCGTGAGGTCAAAGGCAACGTGAAAACCTCTCTCTTCACTCAACCACATGTATTTTTTGCATCAGTTAATTTTTAAAGAGAATCTTCAAAAGCACAATTCGTCTTTACCAGTTGGAATATTTTCAGTCCGATTCTTCAATTAAAGAGTATTCCAAAATTTCACATCAAGGTGATTCTCATTGACGTTTCAAGAATATTGTTCATTTATTTGGGTAGAAAATAATACAATGGAACATAATTGATAAAAATGTCAGACAGATTTTCAAGTATTGACGCTATGTCGAGTGAAAAATCTCAACACTAATTTCGACTCGGACTGCTGTGACACTAGAACGAAAAAAAAATACTTTTTCTACTCTTTCATCACTATAAGATTCCCGGATTTCCCCCTTGCCTGTTCTCTCATGTTTTCTACATGAGAGTGTTCCCCGAAGGAGCTTGTGTGGAAAATAATCGTCACATTTTTACAAGAAAAATCGAGAGTCTCAGTATTCTCCCGGAGAAAAATTGTCACTAGGTATTTTCTTTTGCAATAAAACTAATAGTTTTTTTTCCAGATTTGTTCAACATATGAGATTCTTGAAAAAATGAGGAATGAGGATAGTTTGTTTTTAAAATGTCCCTCAAATTTTAAAGTTGCCGTTAGATGATTTTTCTCAATCTTTGTTTTATAGAGAGATTGATCGTTATTTTACTTTTTCATAATTCACTTCGTTCAATAATTAAAATTAAAAAGTTGTATAAAATAAAGCTTTGTTTCTCCTCCAACTAATAAGGGGAGAGAATTGCAGCGTTGCGCGTTGGAAGGAAACAAAAAGAAAATGTAAAAAAAATCATAGAAAAAATATTAGAGGAGAAATTACTCTTATTTATGATTTTCTATCTTATTTATTTTTGCTTTATATTCATGGGAGAAGGAAAGGAGAGAAAGAGAGACGGAGACACACACACACAGAGTTGAGGGGTGGAAAAAAAAGATAAAGGATTCCCAGGGTTCCCGGACGGTGGCCGTAGATTTTCATGAGCTCGGAAAAAAGAAAATTTTTATTTACTTCATTTTTTCCCCTATTTTTATTCCTCTAAGCGTGTCCGCTGCGATTTCCTTGACGTCAGCGCCTTCGACTCTGCCACGTTCACCCCGTAAATGTCAGTTTGATGTCTCATCTTTTTTCTTACCTTTTTCTGTAAAAGAAAAAAAAATGACAAAAATGATTTTGTGATGGGACCGTAATCCTCATGAACATCGACAAGAATTACAGTCGCAACGAATCAAAATATTTCATTTTCTCATCTTCATGGACTGAGAGAAAAACGACAAAGTTCTCAAACAAGGCTTACTTGTCCCAAGAAAATAGTTTTTTGAAAATTACCAAAAAAGGATTTTTTTGTGTCAAACATGCAGAGAGTGCGCCGGAATGAAAAATTTTTGTCCCAAAAATAAATTTAGTAGATCAAAAAAAATTGCATTCTCTGCGCACGCAAGAAATGTCATTTCTAGCACTACTGCCTCGTTATTCGATACTCCCATACGTATTTTGCTCCCGAAAAATCTCTGTTCTATGCGAAACAAGGGATAATAGTTTTTCGTTTCGACTGTCTAATAATCGCAGACAACAAATGAACCCTTAAATGAAACAATAATAATGATATGATAGCAATCTTGTAACTTAGGGATAAAATATTTGTTGATAAATTTTCCTCTGAGATATTTTCATCATGAAAAGGCACCGTCTGGTGTGAATTAACCGCCTCTTGAGCCAAATATTTCGTTGCTGTCGAAAGCAGAACAATTATTCATGTTTGAGACTTTCAAATTCGAACTAAACAAATTCCTTTTTGGATATTTTCAACTAGGGATTTTGTTGGCCCAAACAAGACTTGTTTGACGTGTTTATTCTTCTCTCAGTGTGAAATAGAAGATTTTCGGTGAAAGACTGGTGCATCCCCCAACTAACGATCAATTCAAACTGGTGATGTTTGATAAATTTCAATAATCCTTACCACCACAAATGGCTGAAAAAATTCCATTTATAAATTATTTCTCAAACTTAGTTCATGGTTTCACCAGACCTGTACTAATTACAGAACAAAGTTATTCTTCAATGGTACACGCACTACCCTGTACACTCGCTGGATTACTCACGCCAGTGAATTCTTATCCTCCAAGTTCTGTTAGGTGCTGAGGAGAACTTGGAAGTTGTATAACATACGGGTGCTTCACAAAGTTTCCATGATGATTTCGTGAACTTGCACTCAAGGATAATCTTCACATTATTAACTATTATTTCATCAAGTACCTTTGACCTCTACCCGCTTTCATTATACTTAGTTTTATAAACGAGAAATTCTTTTTTTTCAAAGTAGATTGATTCGATCTCTCTGTGAACTATTTGAAGAGAAGAAAATAAGATTCAAGAATCCCTTAGGGATTTCGAGGTATCTTTTACAGTTTAGTACAGATCTATAGATTCAAGCATTTTCAATCATCAAATCTGTCAATGCAATTGCGTGAGAAAAATTTGAAACAAATCATGAATATTCAGCATTTTGCAAAGAATTATTATTTTAACTGTCTGATTTTTTTTCAGATTTTTAAAATGTTTTCTAACGACTCAATATCGAGTTTCACATTCAGACCTGCAAAGTTTAAATAATATAATCATTGCAAAATGTTCGACTACGAAAGTAGAAGAGCATTTCTCTTGAGAAAAAATAGCCAAAGTACTTGGTTATCCTTAAAAATCTTGAAATAAGTGAAAATATCCGGGACCTTATTCCCTACGTGGTTGGATATTACAATGCGGATCAATGTAAAATTATTCAAAAAAATGAATGAAAAAAAACCTAAATATAAGAAAAAAAATCTCTCAATGGCTGAAACGACCAGAGGTTCATTGATATGCCTGAATATTCCATTTCAATATTCGTACATACGTAAAATCCATTCAATCGATGGCGATTTACATGAGCCATTGAATTTTCTGTCCAATTTTTTTCCTTTTTCTTTTTTTCGGTTTTTTTTTCATTTCCTCCCAGCAATAATTGGAATAATTGGCAAAAACAACTCAATCATTTACTTTCGCTCATTTTTTAAAACATCGGTGTCTTTGAAGCATAGTATTCATCGTGTTATATTACCGAGGAAAAAAGAGTGCACATTACAGGGACATGGACCGTGGTTGTCTCCCCCTTCGTTTTCACTCCTCAGAGTATCCCTGATATAGCTACAAAGCGCCTACGAGCCTGGAATAACGAAGTCTCTTTTACCACACAACTTCATCTTTTTTCTCTACTTCAGTTTTTTTTATCTCTTTATGCTTTCTACGGAGGTTTATTTTTATTATCCACTCGGACGTTAATAAAATCAACAAAGAGGTCATTCTTTTGTTAATTATGATGCTGCACATTTATTTTTGATTTTATTATTTTTTTTAATACCTTTGATGTTGTCTAAATAACCAAAACGTTTATGCATGTTAATGGGCCAAATTTCATGCACGGTGAAAAAAGTTGGAGATAAATAATTCACAATTGAGCCTCAATTCATGATGATTTGGTTTTGGTTTTTTACCTACACAGAATAATTTGCATTTTTTTTCAAATTCGAACCAAACAAATTCCTTTTTGGCAATCTTCAACTCCCAATTTTGTTGGCCCAAACAAGACTTGTTTGACGTGTTTGTTTTTCTCTCAGTGCATAGTAAAATTTGTCACGATTTTCGAGGTAATTTTTATTCAACTTGTCTCTCCGTCTGGGAAAACTGAAAAATACATTCACCACAAGCCGCTGGAACATTCTGCCTTTTGTATTTGTTTTCGATAAATTGGACATCTTTCAAGATCAATTCAGCGATCAATAGTACGAGAGTTGTTATCTAGTTCAAGTGCTCAAATGGATTCCTGGCACTTTACTTGTGGAAGTGACTAGGCGGCAAGCGGTGGATGGGTTTGAAAGGCAAAAGCCTGAGGAGGATATGTCGACTAAGTTTTACTCCTCTCCGGTCAACGCCAAGTGACTTGGGGCTTTTAGAGGGGGAGAGAAGCATGCAAAGAGAGTATTTCTATACCTTTGTTCTACTCCAGCCGCGAAAAGCGCTTTGTCTGATTTCTCTTTTCAAAAGACTATAGAAATCAGCCATGAATTTATAGCTCAGAGCTATAGTGGACTAAAGCCACCGTATTTCATTGTAAATTTGTACCCTATACCCTCCAGGCATTTTCTAATCATTCTACAATACCCTTGAATATTGTTGCTTGAATATTGTTTATTCAAGTTCTATGTACTTGGAAATGAGCATTTTGGTCGTGCTAAAATTCGTATTCAGGACGTGCTTTTTTTCTTCTTTTTCCAGGTGTCAAAATGGACGCCGAAGCTGCTCTGTTGGTGACATCACCCACACTCTCGACCATCTCCTCTGATCAAATTGATCCGAGATACACGGATCGTGAATCCCCATATTCAGCCGACTCACCAATCACAGCAAAACCGGTATTCAGGAAGATCAGGGAGGAGGAGATTACACCAAAGCCGACACCCAGACACTCACTGCTACCGAGAAAGCCAGAATTTCGGATACGACCGCCATATCTTATGATATGTATCAGTATCATTGAGGTAATTGTTGACAGATAAAAACCAGTACTTTACACGTTCATACAATATCCAGAGCAATTGTGCAAATTTCACAATATATTGGATATAAATAAGAACCATCAGAGCATGACCAAAGCGTGTCTATGCACTACTTTTAAAGTAACTACACTGAGAGAAAAACGACAAAATTCTCAAACAAGTCTTACTTGTGCCAAGAGAATAATTTTTTGAAAATTATCAAGAAAGGATTTTTTGTGCCAAACATGCAGAGAGTGCGATGGAATGAAAAATTTTTGTCGCAAGAATAAATTTAGTAGTTGAAAAAAAATTGCATTCTCTGTAGACGCAAGAAATGTCATTTCTAGCACTACTGCCTCGTTATTCGATACTCCCATACGTATTTTGCTCCCGAAAAATCTCTGTTCTATGCGAAACAAGGGATAGTAGTTTTTCGTTTCGACTGTCTAATAATCACAGACAACAAATGAACCCTTCAATGAAACAATAATAATGATATGATAGCAATCTTGTAACTTAGGGATAAAATATTTGTTGATAAATTTTCTTCTATATGAGATATTTTCATCTTGAAAGGGCACCGTCTGGTGTGAATTATCCGCCTCTTGAGCCAAATATTTCGTTGCTGTCGAAAGCAGAACAGTCATTCATGTTTGAGACTTTCCAATTCGAACCAAACAAATTCTTTTTCGGCAATTTTCAACTAGCGATTTTGTTGGCCCAAACAAGACTTATTTGAAAACGTGTTTGTTTTTCTCTCAGTGTAGATGCTGAACTACGCTTTTCATAAAGATTTTTTTTGTCGTCTGAAAAAAAAAACGAGGGAATAGGCAATTCACTCGTTAAGAGCGTGGCAAAATGTGTAAACTCGCAGTCCGCAAAGTTAAATGTAGTCTCAATTTGTAAGAGGGCTTGGTTCATTCAATGCGGATGGAAACTGTGGAGAGCAAAATCCAGGTCGGGAGCGGGTAAAAAATGAGACCAAACGCAGGATATTTAGGGTATATTTAGAGATGGTAGTATTAAAGACAGAAAGCTCAGTCTATAACCATTTCTGCGCGGAAACGAATGCATGTGGTAATGAATGATCGGAAATACCACAAAACACTATTATAATATAATAACTCAATCGGATTCCCAGGAAAACATTATTAGGAATCAAATTTTCAATTTACCGTCTCTGTTTTGTCTGTACAAGTCAAATCTGGAGTATTTCATTGACGACACACTTAAAATACTGTTTTTTCAAAGGAAAAAGAATGAATCTCCAATGTTTTCTGTCATCGGGAGTGAACGACGATTAGGTGAGGGTTTCTAACTCATCTCATGTTTGCAAATTACTTTTGTTGGATGGAGTGTCGAACAATGTTTGAGTTGAGCAGGATATTGGAAACTACTGAAGTGATGCGAACACTCAGTGTCATTTTTTTGTTCTCTCCACTTTTCGCTTTTCCGAGTAGGAAATGGACGTTACACCGGACGTTACTGGCACTTTCTAACTCGGTAGTGCTTTTATTTGGCCTCTCGAGCGAAAAAAAACTCAATGCATTTTGGCACATTTCCGGCTAACACAGAATTCACTGGTTGAATTATGAGATGTTGACTGAGAAGGAAAAAAATGACTCATTAGATATTATATTCAGCATCGGCCCCTTCGGCATTTGTTCATTTTTTCAATATGTAGAAAGCTACGCTAAGAGAAAAATCGAAAAAAAATCGATTTTGGCGAAAGTCGACTTTCCCCCTGGAAAAATCCAAGATCTGACACTTTGGCCCTCGTGACCCTTGTGACCCTTTGACCGACTTTCCCCCTGAAAAAATCCAAGATCTGAGGCTTCGGCCCCCGGTGAAAAATTTTTTTTTTGCAGTTTTCACTTTTTCCACATACTTTTGAGAGTTCTGAATAGCCCGTCGCTTAAATAGTTGGAATCAACGTTCACCCGGCTAAAAAATTCGATTTTGGCGAAAAATCCAAGATCTGACACTTTGACCCTTGTGACCCTTGGACCGACTTTCCCCCCGGAAAAATCCAAGATCCGACACCTTGGCCTCCGGTGAAAAAAAATTTTTTTCATTTCTGACTTTTTCCACATACTTTTGATAGTTCTGAATAGCCCGTCGCTTAAATAGTTGGAATCAACGTTCACCCGGCTAAAAAATTCGATTTTGGCGAAAATCCACTTGCCCCGGAAAACCCGAAAATCTGACCCTTTGGCTGGGGCCAAAAAAAACGGTTTCTCAGTTTTCACTTTTTCCACATACTTTTGAGAGTTCTGAATAGCCTGCCGCTTAAATAGTTAGAATCAACGTTCATCCGGCTAAAAAACTCGATTTTAGCAGATAGCTGAACAATTATTCATGTTTAAGACTTTCAAATTTGAACCAAACAAATTCTTTTTTGGCAATTTTCAACTAGCGATTTTGCTGGCCCAAACGAGACTTGTTTGACGGCGTTTGTTTTTCTCTCAGTGTACTTCCCTTCTGGATACGTGTTGAATTTCCAATGCCATCGTTATAATCAATACGATAAGTGATACGGGACAAAATGTCCACTCATATTAACGCTTCAACCGGCGTAATTGTATTTATAATAACGGTATTGTGTACATGCCGGCGGGGGGAGGGGGGGTTAATAGCGCCATTAACCGCCATAGACTCTTCAATCCTCATTAACGAGATAGCAGTGGTTGTATGTCAGGTACTAATGAATTTTCATCGTTATCCTCAACCCGTAATTCACATACAACTGGTAAAATTTTCTGTCCAAGGGTTTGCACAAATATACACAGTGTTAATCCAAAATGGCTCGGATGTTGCCACTCGAGGGTGATATTTATTTTAGAGATTCTAAGGAGAGCGCTACTCGGTACATTCTGAAATCTTGAGATAATAGTTACAGTCAAACATCTGGCGTCTCTTGGAGATTTGCCGTTGTTCAAATACTCAGATTTCTGCATTAAATATGAATTGTTATTTGCCCTTAATTATTTACATCTCTATTTATATGGTGGAATAATTTTTTTTTTCAATTGTTCAGTATTTTAATGGGAGGAGAGAATAAAAAAAGAAGAATCAAGAGAGAGGAGTAACAGATGGGAAAACACGCAGACTTTAAAGTTTAATCTTTTCTTTCATCCATAAACTTTATTTTTCTCGAGTCATTAACGTCTTACCTACTTTCTGTTGAAACACAAACATCTCAAGAGTATGTTAGTCTACCGACAATTTTCCCTTCCAAATTGGCTATTCAGGTAGAGAAGAATGAAAAGAGGTAAATGCAGAGAGAAGGGGTTTGTAACCATCCCGAGCGATGCTCACTCAGGGTATTTGTTGCTTTAATTAATTTAATTATCCGTCCGCATAGTTTCCCCTGCCACCTCTTTTGACTCCTTGTCACGAGTTTTCCCTCTTAATAATAAGCCAAGGAATATTCCGTTAATTAATCTCCATCGGACTTTCGACATTGCATGGAAAGAATGTAAAATAAAAAAAAAAGGAGAGAGAATAATGTGGAACAAGGGATTTTAATCTCAGGGAGAATGAAGACAGGATTGCATAAAGTGGATGAAAAATTATTCACCTTTGTTTAAGTTTTCCAAAGGTTTTTCCCACTTTTATTGATCTTGTTGCAGATCAGTGTTCACTGCCTGAGTGATGAAGCTGTACTTCGCAGATGGTTGGTCTACGATCCTAGGCAGCGTGTTCAAGGATGGAGATTCGTATCTTATATGTTATTACACTCGAATGCACTTCACTTGACTTTGAATGTTGTAATTCAAATGGTATTAGCGACTCCACTGGAGGTAAAATAAACATTTACTCAAAGTTGCTGTGTTAATTTGTTGAGCAAAATTATTCATGTATTTTGGAAATCTTCTCCAATAGGTGGAACAAGGAAAATTGGCAGTTGCAACGATTTATCTTGGCGGTGGTATTTGCGGTGCCCTAGGAGCATCTTTACTCCAGCCAAGTCTCTATCTTGTCGGAGCATCTGCAGGCGTTTACGCTCTACTTACCAGTCATCTGGCACACCTTTATCTGGTAAATAGTCAAAGTCTTGTTTTTATGTGTCTAATTACTTGTAGGAGTGGGTTGAATTTATCGTGGACAACATCAATTTGCTTATTTGCAGATATATTTCCCATTTTACATTGTAATTTCAATTTCAATTCAGTTACAAGTTGAGTCTATGGCCACGCTTGCGAAAAAATTCAGTAGAAAACCGCTGGAACATTCTATTGGAATGCTATCGATACATTCTATTGGTTTTTTGTACTGATTCTATTCGACATTTGATAAGAAAAAGCCAACAGATTTCGAATTTCTGTTCGCCTTTTTTCCCTGAGGTTTTTTCTGTTAGAATTATTGGACCCAAATTTTCCTAGGTTTTCCGCTGGATTTTGTTTTATTTTGTTTTGCAGGATCCGAGTAAAAAAAAACTAAAAACAAAAAACCGAAGAAAACGCAGCGAATTCACTAGAGATCTCTTGAGAAGAATTCTCAAGAGAAAAATTCAAACAGAAATTCGAAATCTATTGACTTTTTGTTATCGAATGTCCAATAGAATCAGCGCAAAAAAACAATGGGATTTCAATAGAATTTTCTATTGATCTCAGTTGAACATTTTTACCTCCCTTCAGACGGTCTCCTACCAGTGATGTAACGGACAGAGCTGACCGGTCAATTTACCGTCATTTTACACGTAAATCACACGTCACTGACCGAAGGCCAATTTCTCGTCACAAAAATGCCAAAAGAAAAGCTTGACGGTCATTTTACATCTAGATAGAGCGCGACGAATATCGTTGACCGTTCATGTGACTTCATGTGACGAAATTAAACTTTTCATGTGAAAAAATTTTATACGACTGTCTATAATTGTTTCTATAATTGAGCTTAATAGATTCTGTGATAATAATAGATAATAAAAGTGCTGCGAAACTTTTCTGATTTTTCGCGATATTCACTAAATTTTCGATTTCCGTTTCGCCGTTATTCGTATTTTTCTTTAAATTTCTAAAAAAATTTATGAATAAAATGAAAAAAAAATGACTGAGCATAAAAATGATGGTCAGATTACACTTAGATGAACGATTTTTCAGCGTAAATGACAACGAGAAAAAATCACTGACAATTGGGTAAGTTGACCGGTCAGATTTTCCGGCTGACTTGACGCATGTCAAAAATTACCGTCATTTTTCATCTCCATTTCCCACTGATAAATCATTGTAGAAAATGTGAAAATGTTTTTCTCTCCTGCTTTCTTCTCACTCTTTTCGTAATCCATGCGACACATACATTCTGAAGATAAATGGAGCTTAATGGGGTCAAAATTGCAGCATTTTCCTGGTCATTCTCACTTTTATTATTTCCATTAGCCTCGGCATCAGTCATGAGAATTTTACCCAAAAAGTTTTCCATTGATTTTGTTGTTTTTTCCTTTTTCTTTGGACGGTTGGTTCTTGCAGTGTCACGGTGAGCTACGATATGCCAGTTGGCGTCTGGTAACTGTTCTACTTCTTGCTGGTGCGGATGTTGCATCGTTACCCGTACCAGCATTGCTCGGATGTGGCCGAGTTGGTTGGGCAGCGCATGTCGCGGGTGCACTGGCAGGGCCACTACTTGGATTAGCCGTATTCCCGAAACAAAGCAAAAAGGATTCGCGTGGTCGTAGATTTGTACGTTTTGTTAGATTTTTAAGTGCTGTTAGTGTGATGCTATTAATCATTGGCGCAATATTGGGTAATGTGTATCTCATCGCACTGCCACAATTGCATAAACCCTCCTGACAACGAATTCAAAAGCTCATAAGGCTGTGTAAAAAATCATTTCTCATGGTTAAAATACGGGAAAGTGCTGAGAAAATTTTCGAGTAGTTTATGAGAAGTAAACGATTGTTGAGGATTAATTGGGTAAATTTTCAAGTGAAACGACAACCCTAATGGACGAATAAGCGCTCGAGAATAATTTTACCCAATGGAGACGAAAGAAATTTGAATTTCGAAAATTGCCTGACAACTCATTTTGTTCCGTTGAACAATGACATTTCATCTTTTATTATGGAAAAATCAGAATGACAAGGGAAATCAAATGTTAGCGTTGGGGTCTAGGGACGAAATCCTCACGGAGAGAAATACTCTATTAAAATTAGGTATCTTTTCCATAATTCCGGAGCGAAATGTGGGTGTAGGAAATTTTACGGAACTGTCACGGAAGTTCTCCAGAGCGTTCCGTAATTTTTACCTGAATCTACTGCGAAAAATTACGATACCGTCACATCGGTGCGCGAATTGTGAGTTTCGTAATTTTTACTGAATATTTCTCTCCGTGCGGATGTGCTGGTTTACTGTTAGAAATTTATTGAAATTTCAGTCACTGCATCTTCTAAATTTTCGATGTTGTAAGGTTGAATTCAATTTCAAATGAAAGCGTTCACTAAATCTCTCATTCATCTTGAAAATTCAAGAAAATTTGGTTCTTCATGGTAAGTAATCATTGATTTTTCAATGAACGCTTCAATTTCCAAACTCATTGTGAAAATTGAACATCACGTACAATTCAATTTTCAATAGATTGAAAATTCAGAAAAGTTGTTACCGGAATTTTCTAAATTTTCAAAGTTTCTCAGTTCTGTATTAAATTAACTGTCCCGTCAATGAAGAAATATACATAAATTTCACGTGACTTTGTCGTTATTAAAAATTTCAAGCTTTTTCACTTGAAATTTCAAAAGTAATTTTTCAACAGTGTTCAATTTAAATCTTCGTATCACTTGGAAGTTTAATGAAACTCGAAGACGCTTTGAAAATTAACTACTTATATCAATTACAGAATATAATAATCATCTAAAATGGCAGTGGTTGTTGTGCACTATGTGATAGAGAACATAATTTGGAATAATTGAGTGAGAATGTTGATATAGAGAGAGAGATTTTTTATTTTGCATTCGTATGTCATATTCAGTTTTTTCGTGGAATCATTCGATGCATTCAATGAGCCACTTAATTCATATGAAGGTGCCATGTATTCATTAAATTCATAAAAATGACATTTATTCTATTTTACACGCCTTTGTCATGGAAAAAATGCTCTCATAGAGTTCCTTTGTTCTTCATCAGTAAATTAGAATTTTAGTAGGAAATGGTATTTCACGTCGGACGTGCGAGAAGAATTCATGATATGCAAATACCTCTGTACATAATGAAAGTGGACAGTAACGTTGAATGGTAGAATTATTCTGAGTATAAAAAATTTATATTTTTTCGTTGAAAATCAACTTCTCTTTCAACAATTTATGCATTTACTTCACGAATACTTCAAGGGGAGACTACTGAGTTTTAAAATTCGCGGGCCATTGGAATGCGATTTTTCATACATCAAAGATCGATTATATATATCCAAAAATGAATAATTAGTGCAAAAAGTCTTCGGAGCAAACTAACAATAAATAATTGATTTTTTTGCACAAATTATTCGTTTTTATACATATCTAATTAATCTTCAATGTATGAGAAATCCCACTCCAATCGCCTGCGACTTTTAAAACTCATAGTAGTCTCCCCTTAAATGAAATTAAAAAAAAAAATACTTATTTGACTATTTCAGTTGGCTACTTATGGTTAATTAAAAAATGAGCATCACTGACTATATATGTAAAATGTTGATCATCTTTCAATGTTTTGAAAACTATGTGTACGTCAAAATGTACTGGGTCAATGGTAAGTCCTGCCAAAATTTATTAACAAAACTAAAGAATGAGGATGATTAAAAAAACAACAAAAAAATGTAATGTAAGTTAAATAAGTAGAGTGGATTAATGAATTTATTAAATCATCTAACATACCATAAGGTACCAAATTGTTTATCAATAATTGAAAAGAAAGACAAGACGAGAAGAAAAATCAAAGAAAAAGTAAACTGGCTGTGATTATTTTAGTCTTCTCAGAAGTTGAGAAAATAGATGTACTTGAATCATGGATGATAAGTGATGTAAATATTGATTACGACACTGTGATTAACAATTCAACAATTACTGATAAGATGCAAAAGAAGAGAATGTAATAGTGTGTATCAAAAACAATCAATTAGGCGCAATTTGAAAATATATTATGAAAATATTATTCATTAATCATTTTATGTAGCATTAATCATTCACATGGAAAATTTTGTCTATATACAAGCAAAAATGATTTGTGCAGAGAAAAAAAAACGGTCATGTTTTCCCTATGAAAATTGTCTTGAATCATTTATTTATTCCATGTATAATTCCAGGTCCATTCCATTCCTTGGTAATAATATATCGATTCCTCTACAAAAAAATAAAAAAAAGTGAGTCGCAATTTTCCGTTTTTATCTGAATTCCATCACTGTTATTGCGGTTACTCCGGGCTTTTATAGGGCGCACAATTTTTCCAGAGAGAAGTCAAACAGAGCTTTCCCAACGAGAAACTCGCTGCTACGAGTATTTCATAGATCAGATTCATAACAACTGTTAAAATGATGAAATTCTCATCATGTCGATCATAATTTTTGTGCAAAGAAAGCTGTCAGCGCTAGACATATTTTTCCTTTGTTATTTTCAATACAAAGCCCCTGTGAAATATGAGGGTTGTATTTTATAAAAATGCGGATAACTACTCTGACGGAGTCAAGTTAATAATATCGACAAGTTCCAGAAGTCGAGGAGAATGAGAAAAAAACAGTAAATGGCAGTGGCAAAGGATAAGAGGGGAGGAGGAGGGTGAGTGAACGCGTCAAGAGAGAGATTTCTACCACACAGTGTCCCCATACATCTCCTCCTCTCTGAAAGGGAAAACAAAAATGCAGAAAGATAAAATAAAGTGAAAAAACTTAGACCCCCATAGTTTACCCTGGAGAACGATAAAACTGGGAATCCAAGGGGATATAGCGAGAGTACCCTCGTTGCAAATATTTATTGTTTAGGTTGCACACCATGGGGGATAAAAAAATATACACGACTGATATTTTATTTGGATGTTTGCGTTGCTAGTTAGTGTATCCACGGAATAATTTCCAGATGTCAGCAGACAAGTTTCATAGTCAAGCGGTTTTTTAGGTGGTACGTCTTTTCAACTAGGCGACATTTCAACTACGAAATTTCAACTGAAATTATCAACTACAACATATCAACTAGTTTTTGTGAAATTACTGTATTTTGGGGAATTAGCGGAAATTTTTTGATTTTCATTTTTTTTTACTCTCCTTTTCAACAGACAACGTGATGCAATTCAACTTAATCACTGAACTAATAGATTAATGATTAATATCATACAAAGATTCAATTTGTTTTTATATTAACAATTGCAAGAGATCAATAGTTGTTTTTTTAAACGGATTTTCCATGATTTTTTTCAAAGGCTTTTTTCCATTTTATATTGAGATGCATTGAGTGATTCCACGCAGATAGTTTTCAATATCGTCCAATGCATTTTTGCGATTAACGATTCTCTTGATTCTCGCATCATGATCTCTGTAAGCCTTTCGTTTTTTTGGAGGGAGCTGGCCACCATTGGTCTGCGTCCATCTGAGTTCCATTGCAGCCTGTTCGTCCTTAAGGGCTTCGTTGAATCGACCCAACGTGGGATACTTGGAGACGTGTATTGAAGCCATCATTGGCTTCCAGATGGATGCCGCGTTTGGTTTCAGCATTACGTCGACGACTCGCAAATATTGCAGTCTGCATCTTCAGGGCTATGAGCTCCGATTATGAGTTCCGATGTCTGGGGGTTGTCCTTATATATCTTCCCCTGTGATGGTGGGGGAAGGAGCAGGGGGGGAGGGTCAGCCAATCGTATGTTTTGAATTGACCAGCTGGTCAGGTAGGAAAAAATTCTGTAAGATTTCTTATACCCCAAACGTGTTTATTTTCATGATCTTAAAAACAATTTGTTTTTACTGAGATCGTTATTACAAAATGAAACTGTAATCTTGTCTAAATCTAACTTAACCGTGAATTGAGGACTCCTTTAGCAGCAGTAATAAAAAAAAACCATTTCTATATATTCAAGTAATCATAAATCCTCGACAATAGTTGGCCACATTGGTATAAAAGCAGTCATAACTGTGAGCAATGGGTTCCGAGTTGAGTTCTCGGATATACAATGTACCTGCTTTATGTCATCGTCAAATTATATTGACTCCCTTCCTCGCCCCGGTTCTTATCACTTTCCGAGATATTATTCTACTATTATAACAAAGATCTGTTATTATACACAATTATATCCCTTCAAATGTCAAATGGCTATGATGGCAAACTTTGCGTCGCTAAAACTATATATACTGCTATTGTCATATATTGTTATTTATATAGATATATAAATATATTTATATACTGAATTTACCAGGATCAGGGATGATGTTAGAATTTTGCCATTCTAGATTACTGAGAATCTTCCAATGTAAAAGCACATCAGGGCCTCCAAACCCGATAAAAAAAAAACAATTGCTACCTCATAAAAAATTCACCATTATCGTAATAATTGTCTTAAAATTAATTGGTTAAAAATCAGTCTATATATGCGATTAGAATGATTGTGTCATCATGATAATAAATAAAGTCACTATTGATTATTCACTCATGTCCGCCTCATAATTCAATTATAACTTGTCATTAATTCATCTCAACACTCGAGCTGTTTACACTGCACCCCAAGATCAGTGCAACGGCACTCGAGGCACGGCGTCGAGAGCTCCACAATTATCCTACCAACTCTATACATGCGCCCATAGATATTGCATCCAGCGAGTTTCAATAACCCACCGATAGGCACATTTTCCTTCTCATCTTTATCCTCTCCAGTTGTACTCTCATCCAAGCCTGTTGAACTTTTCAATGTTATGCTTTCCGATATCATCGCCATTTTTAATCCATCATCTGAAAATTCTTTTGAAAGGCCAGTGGTGTCATTTAAAAATATTTCCTCCTCAGCGACAAATATTTTCTCTGTCGATACTTGATTTTTTTTCCATGAGGATGAATTATTTTCGGCTATTGAAATGTCAGCGCTCGTAGAGATTGTCGTATTACTGAGTTTTGGAGGTACAGTGCTATCAGAGAACAGCAAATCTAGCATAGAATCGAATGAAAATACAGCTTCTTCGTTATAATTCGTCCAAGAATTGTTGACAACTTTTATAGTTTTTTCATCAGTAGCAGGGAGCAATGTTTGTATTGAATTTTTTGGATCTTCAGTTGTGATGACTACATCCTCAAATTTATTCACAACTTTGTCCTTAAAGTTTGGCTTCACCAGAGACATTTGGGGCTCAAAAGAGAGGGGAGTGGTGGCAGGAGTGGTTATTCTGTGCTCGAGATAGGGAATCATATCTTCGATGAGGGAAGGCAAATCTGGGGCTGGTTCGGTGCGAATCACATCCCGGAAGGGATCGAAGGAAGTTGGCTCTATATTCAGAGGGGATTTTAGATCATCTCTGTCCAATACCACTGTAGGAGATTCTTCTGCATTCGGGCCTGAAGAGACATCAGACAAACCGAAAAAAAACATTGTATAATTCAACGATGAATATCACGGTTCAACAAAATTCGGACGTATTCGACATCGAAAACGAAACCGTATCCATTTTATAGATATTGTAATGCGGATTTCAAATTTCACTTGAGAAATCTTTCTAGCACGTCTAGTTTTCGAGGAAAAAATGTTGCAATGATGAAAAATGGCTAAAATGAACAATTTAAGCAATTTATAAAAAAATGAATTTGGGCGTATTTTTTCCCAGAAAAAACTATGAGTTAATGAAAATGTGATTTGTTTCGTGGATTCGATTTCATTTCAATTGGTTGAGCCAAAACGAGTGAAAAAAATCCTGAAAAAGTCGAAATTCCATGATTTCTCTTCGGAAATCAAATGATCGCAAGTTAAAATCAGCATCAAAATATGTATAAGTGTATCCAGTATGCATATTAACGCCTTCATTTATTATGAAATTGTTGAATTGGTGAATTTTGTCACTATTCAAAATCATTGTAAAGAACAGCAAACCGCGGCGAATTTTTATTCTCCATCAAAAATATCTTACCACAAACAATTTTGCCGCAGCATTTGATATCGTCCGGAATTCTCTGACACCCGAATTTGACTGGTGAACATTTTTCATCAGAGCAGGAAACTTCTCCATAGTAACAGATGCAAATGATACAATGGCCACTGCTGGGTAATAATTCGCCATGATGATACGGGCGTCCCTCTAAAAGGCACTCTGTCGTAATTTCTGAAAAACCCAATGTCATTGAGTAATAATAAAAGCATTGACGTCGGCGGGGAACGTCAATTTTACTGCATACCCACCATCATTTTTTCGATGAGGATTCGTAATGTCAGCCGGAAAAACTGTGACCCCAGTGCCAATTTCAAGATTCAAATCTGTCGAGTGATATGGACTCTCAAAATACGATGGCTCTCTTGGCACAAATCCCCCTGAACATGACAATTTCATAAAAATAACTTATTACATTTCCAAGACATAAGAAGGAAGGAAAAACAACATCGCACGGATACGACAGACCTTCGGTTTCTACTGGTGGACTGAAACGATTCTCCTGGGTAACTATGTCGTAGAAATTGCCAGGACTACCAACGACGGACACGTCACTTGGTCTTAGCTCTGGTGGAACGCCTACTGAGCCCAAGGGATAAGCTGTTACTGGTGATGTTGATTCTTTATCTTTCACAAGAGCGTCTGCTGCGACAAATGGAATGATTCTGACAGAGACAGAAAGAAGGTAAATTGAATTTCCACTTCTGCAAGTGAATTAGCGTCTTTCAAGTTTTTGCTTCTTTTTCTTTTCAGATGTTTGGGATTTTTAAATTTCATTGATATCATTCAGGGATAGCCATATCCATAAATTATAGTTATTGAAGTAATCGTCAATTTAAATATTCAAATTCAGAATTATTTATTGATCAGTAGTTTAGTTGGGACGATTGACGATTATTTGGATAATCGGAAATCCCTTGTAAGAAATTTAGAATTATTTACTTGATAGAAAACTAGATTAATTTAGATTATCGAGTATTTTACTATTTGTTTAGTCGGAAATTCTTTCGATATTGAAGTATCGTAAGATTGATGGCCATCGCTGATATCATTTATCCCATCAACTGAAGAGTTTCTTTCTTTTTTTTTTCAATTCAAAATTATCAATTTCGAATAATTAGCGAAAGTTCAACGTGGGAATTACTCAGTGCATTGCTTCTTCACTGCACATTCTACCCTCACTCTTTTCCCATACCACACTGCCAACAGCTGCCGGGGGGGTGGTAAACCGCGCGTGGATTAATACGAATTAAGGTCGCAGTGCTAGGAAATTTACGAGGCTCTGCATATACCATATACTCTCTCACGCCCTTTTCGAACGATTATACAATATTTCCCGCTTGAGATACATCGGATTTTGCCACTTTGCTTCCACCGAAAACTACACCGAGTTTGAGCGTTAATGTAAGAGATATAGGAGAGGCCGTATTGGGTAATGCTTGCTAGAGATGAAAATCTAAATGACTAAAATTATGCCATTCCAGAGTGAACGTAATTCTTTCGGGTAAATTTATTGTTTTTCGTTTTCATTTTCACCATGGATAAGACTGTTACACGTCGAAAAATGTTCAGTAAAAATTACGGAACTCACAATTCGCTCACCGATAACGGAATCGACTCAGAAAATTTAAGTGACGGTATCGTAATTTTTCACAGGAGATTCAAATAAAAAATACGGAACGCTCTGAAAAAATTCTGTCACAGTTCCGTAAAATTTTCTACAACCACATTTCGCTTCGGAATTACGCAAAAGATACGTAATTTTGATTGAATATTTCTCTCCGTGTATCGAACGTCCCGAAAAGGGGAAACGCTGAAGCGAAAACGATCGGAGAATCGCGAAATAGCCTGCACTGAAATAAAAACGACAAAGTTCTCAAACTAGTCTTACTTGTGCCAAGAAAATAGTTATTTGAAAATTATCAAAAAAGGATTTTTTTGTGCTAAACATGCAGAGAGTGCGTCGGAATGAAAAATTTTTATCGCAAAAATAGATTTAGTAGTTAAAAAAAAATTGCATTCTCTGTACACGCAAGAAACGTCATTTCTAGCACTACTCCTTCGTTATTCGATACTCCCATACGTATTTTGCTCCCGAAAAATCTTTGTTATCCGCCTCTTGAGCCAAATATTTCGTTGCTTTCGAAAGCAGAACAATTATTCATGTTTGAGACTTTCAAATTCGAACCAAACAAATTCTTTTTTGGCAATTTTCAACTAGCGACAACATGTTTGTTTTTCTCTCAGTGTGGGAAAGGAGGAGTAATTTTTATTAAACCTTTATATTATCCTTTGACCCTGATTCTGACCCTTACGACCCTAAATCTCCGAGGAAATCCTACAAGAAATTCTATAGGAAATCCCATCTGAAAAATCCTACAGATTTTTTTCACACGTGACTCATTGAATACTACCGATTCGTCCCTTATGAATAAAAATGGCCATTGATCGAAAGCTCACCTGACATTCGGTAAAGAAGGGGGCAGTGTAGGTTCACTGTAATCATACTCCTCGTAATCCTGCCCCTTCTTTCTATCTGTAATGTTGACGATTCTCTCGATATCAGGTGGCAAAGGCCTCACCGGATTTCCTGTAATTTTCTGTACCATTTCCACCGAGACATTAGTCTTCAGCGTGACATTCATAACGAGAATATCTCCAGGCATCACTACAGTTCCTTTGACATCTCCTCTAACTTTCTCCCTAACTTGGCCAAAAGTTGTTTGAAAAAGTATCTCCGGATATTCGGTAGTTACATTTCCCTCAATGTTCTCCATCTTTTCTCTTGATTTTGTTTTCACTTCAAGAGTGTCATTGTCATCTTTTACAACGAATTCTGAGGATAAACTTTCAGCTCTCACAGCCGCATCAGACGCATCCTCGTTCATCGCAGTGTAATCAATGACAGTCGTCAATCGATAATCAATAGTCGTGTTACTAGAGCCAGTTGAGATTTCAATGGTACTAGATGTCTCGATAGCTTCATCACTGCTTGTCCAAGATTGGGTGATGCTCTCTGCTGACGCGGTTGACTTGGGATAATCCATGCTCTCAGTGGGAATCTCGTTATCCATCGTCTCAGTCTCATAAGTGACTGTGGACGATGTTACCTCGAGGACAGATATCGTTGAGTCATCCTCGAGGGGTTCTTGAGTTGTACGTAAATCGTCATTTTCACGGTGTGATCTGCCCTCAATAGTTGAGTATCGGGGCTCACTCGGTAGTAGAAAATTGGTCTCTTTACGAAATTTGGCGTAATCTTTGCTAATAAATGCGTACGAAGCGAAATTTTGCCTTGATTTTACGGCAATGCTTCCACCTGACGAGATAAAAACAAATTGATCTGTCTTTCAACGGGGAAAACAAAAAGCAGGAAACGAGGGAATTTCTGCGACAATGGCCTTGAAAATATACTATATTGAATATAATAATTACAGTGAACGGATGTAACGAAACAACTCACTGCAATTGTAGGTCGATGGACAGCATTGTCCTTCACGTACTATGGGTGTGCATCCCTGCAGAGGTGGTGCGCATGCAAGTGGAACACACCGAATACCGCCCATAGCGCAAAAGCAATTTTCACACATTGTCTTCCATTCAATGTCACGTACCATTTCTCCCTCTTCATAACAACGATTACCAATTTTACAACCATTTGCCGATAGTGAAATCGAATGTTGCAGTGAATCTGGGGTGAAAAATTGAAAAAAAAACAAACAAACAAATGGACAATTTAAATGATTTCCAGGGGGGAATTGATTTAAACACTTACGAGTACAATTATATGCAACTGGACAACAGGAGTAGGGGGCGTAAAGTGGCGTGCATCCCCGTAATGGCAATAGACACTTTGGTCTGACGCATCTACGCTCACCAGATATGCAGTAACAATATTCACACCTACGTGAGCCCATCATAGCCGAGCCAGGCGCATAATGAACTCCATCCCAAATGCATCCTTAATCAACATACGTATCCATCAATTAATATTGTGTATACCGTACAGGTGGAAAATTCTCATTGTATCGTTAATTAATTGGAAAAAGTCTAATGAATGTACTATTGCCTTGTTTTATTTTTGTATAAAACGTTAGTATTAAAAACAAGCGGGGGCCAAGTCTTTGTGTCAGAAGGCATGTGACCGATGCTTCATGCGTTATCTGTCTTTTTAATTTTTTATGTCTACCGATTCCAGTGGTAGTGAGCTTCCGAATGGATCCGCAGAAATTTTATTTTTTGATTGAAAAAAAATGTTTTTCTTGAAAAAATCTGATCCTCGAAACGTTTGACGTTCTAAAATAGAGAATTAAATCAGTAGCGAAGCGGTAAACCGGGTTAAGTCGTTTTTTACTATTGGCTAGTTTTTGACGAATATCTCGGAATCTAAAAGAGATAGAAAGATTTTTGTCATGACCTTTTTTGTAGAGCCAATAGAGCGTTATAAAAAAAGTCATGAGAAAAATTTTGCTATCTCTCTTAGATTCCGAGATATTCAGCAAAAACTGGCTAATAGTCAAAATCGACTTAACTCGGTTTACCGCTTCACTACTGAAATGTCGGTTTTATCCAGTGGGATAGGCATATCTACTCGATAGGCATATCTACTCGATCCAAATCAATGATAGAACAACGATATGTCATTTTCAGCTAAAACCGTTTTTTACATCAATTTGTAATAATTTTTGGGTTTATGTAGACAATTAATATTTTATTTCGTGAAATCAGATGAGTTGAACATTATATAATTTACCTTAATTATTTATTTGAATATTCGGAATGAAGAGGTCACAATTTTCTAGTTTGGACGTACACACAGACATTCTCTAACAGCATCATACACGGAGAGAAATATTCAGTAAAAATTACGGAACTCACAACTCACCGATTACGGAATAAAAAAATTTTTTTTAAATGAAAATAAAAATTTGGGAACGCTCCGGAAAAATTCTGTGACAGTCCCGTAAAATTTCCTACAACCACATTTCGTTTCGGAATTGCGAAAAAGATACGTTATTTTTATTGAATATTTCTCTCCGTGTATCTCGACGTTTTATGACATTCTAAGTCATTTCCACGCAAAATGACAGAATCGAAAAATTGACCAATTACAAAGTTTCGATTCGGAAGCGAAAAGCACGGTGGCAAGTATCTGTCATGAAGGTTTCGGTGTCACGTAGAGTAATTTTCCCCGAGTTTGTCGTTTGATAAAGAGGCAGTCGGGGCAATGGGGGTATGAAGGAACAGAGGGAGTTAGAAGTGTGGTTGGGAAAGGTGAAAGATAGATAGAGTTCAGTGTGATGGGTGCCGTATCCTAATTACAACGACCCAAGGGAACAGGAGAGCCAGCCAGCGGTTTTTGGGGAGGTGGGTGGCGACACGGACCATTAGTTGGTAGAAAATTAACTACTCTACTAGTGTCTAGCATAGCAGCTGAGTATAAGCGTGAATGTTGGCCCTGCACACGCCAACTTGTGTCAAAATTACGTAGCGTATTCATTAATATCCCTTTTTTTTTCATTCGAAAATCTCTCGAAACTCGCTCCTCAGGAATGACAGCAGCAGTTAGGGAGGCGATGATTGACAGTTGGACTTTATGGGAGTATTTTTAGCGACAGAGAAGAAAATTTAATAGAAAAACCTATCGAATTCGTTGGAAAATTCTATTGAATTTCTGTTGAACTGTTCTATTAGTTTTTGGCCGATTCCATTGAAATGTTAAATAGAAAATATTCAGTAGAAAAAGTCAATAGAATTCAATTTTTCTATATAACTTATTCTATTGAGATATTTTCTATAGAATTTCCTCGGCTCAAATTTTCCAAGTTTTTTCGTTTGATTTTCTTAATGAGAAGAAAAGAAAAATAGAGCTGACATGAAACTTCGTGAGTCCGTCAATAATGATAAAACGCAAAACCGATATATTATTTCGCGTCAATCCGATCAATAATTTTCCAGAAAAATGAAAAAAAAACGTGAATTTTAGCCGAAAGGGTGTAGTATTATACATCCTCAAAGTTTGGAAAAACTATTTCCTTTCAGTAGAAAATTAAAAACTCGTAATAAAAATTTTTACCACCATTTTTGAGGTCGGCTTGAGTATTTCTCATCCGTGATATTTCTCTCTTATCTGGAAACATAAAAGCAATCCAGTGTTCACGATAGAGTTTCATTGACTTTAATTAAAATACTTACGGTAATCATCGCAAATGAGCTCAGCGCAGCATGCATTCTCATGGGGAATTCTTGTTGTACAGCCAGATGGCAGTGGATTTGGTATACGTGGACAGACACGTAAACGACATCTTAGGGAGCCTTGATAGCAAGAACAGTGGAGACAGGGCTCACTTGTATTTACGGATGAGGACTCCTGGTAGCGTTTACCATCGTATCTACAACCTAATTTTTTATTTATTTATTTATTTACTAACATTCAATGAGCATTTAAAAATTAACGTACACATCGGGGGCTTTGAGTGAAATACATGACGAGTTTTACCTCGCGCATTCGACTCTTGAAAAAAATTTCAATATTATTTCACTGGATTAATGTGAAAATCCTCGTCAAAAGCTCCTCATTATATTTCCCACTGGCATTTTTTTTCACCTCTTTCCAGCTATTTTCAATGGCAAAAGGGAATTTTCATGTTTTTCTTCTCTCTTTAGTTTTAAAAAAATCAAAATCATTTGCAGGTTCCAATGAACTCTCCTCTAGTATTTGGAATTGCAAATCCACCCAATTATTCTAAAACAAAATCCCACCTCCTTTAACTCGAGAAAATGAAACAACAATAAAACTGCAAGGTCTGAGTGTTCTTTCACGATCGAACACAACTCCTAAACGAGTCTGGGGAGATGTCAGAGAGGTGGGGGACATTAAACGAGAGAGTCGAGTCGAGTCAAGCAGCGACAATTAACGCAATACAATTAACGATTAATTGCTGTCTCTTCTCCTTGAGTGTAGACGAAAAACCTAGGGACAATAAAGAAAAAAGTGAGCAAAAAACAGGAAAGACCAAATAATGATTGATAATGGGGGAATAAAACATGAGATTCGATAGGCAATCTGCTCTTCCGTTGTTTTACAAGTGTTGATTTTCCTCAAAAACTTTCATCTCATAATTTGGTGAATTGAGAGGCATTAAAATTCATGAGAAAATGCTATTACACAGAATACCTCCAACGTCGGAAATAATAATTAATTCCAAGAGAGTAAAGCAAACAGATGGATACACATCTCAGCCATAATAGTCAGTAGCAGTTGAGATAAATCGACACAAAGTTTCCAACAGTCACCAGACAAGAGTAAAGGTTGAATCTCCCTTACGTCTGAATAATTCCCTGGATCCTTCCATCCCTCCAGTACTAGCTCCCAACCCCATCCCTTCCCCATTGTTTCAGTCTGTTCAAGTAGTTTGTTGCTAATTTAATAATACCCAACAATTCGCCGAGACAGGGTGGAATGAGTGGACGAAAAAGAGAAGACGGAGAAGTGGATGGTCTTGAAATAACTTTCCAGCAATTGTGTATTGAAATTATGTAATTGAAATTATGATGAATTTGAGGGAAAAAATAAGTTGTTTGTTAAAAATAAAATTATCTTATAACTCACTGAGTCATTGGGCAACCGAGGAAACTCTTAACAATAAATCCCCACTCGCAATTTCAGAGGAAGTGGAAGTAAAAAAGTTTTAATGATAATAATTCTATTTCTTCAAGATCGCGATGAATAATCGAGATAAATGGCATTGCGACGAGTTACCTACTGGCATGGAATATTTCGGAACAGGTCCAGTGATTATTTCTATTTTTCTTTCACTGCATTTCCTGTGTGTCGACGAGTAATTGAGTGAAATGAGGTTTTAAGCAGTAATTAGCATTGGTAATTTTCTCAGCATTCTAATGGGACCATTTGCTACCCTCTCTACTCCTTATGAGAAGAACACACTCTCCAGACTTGTGAAAAAAAACGAGTGGGAAATTGCTCTTGTATTGTGTATAGTATAGTTATTTTTGATAATAAATTAGCAATATGCTTGCGAATGGTTATTTTGCACATAATTTCCGTCTATCATGTGTAATTCATTGTTTATTTCGTTTTATTCAATTGAGTAAGACTTCCTTTTATTTAATTTTGTTAGATTTTCAACGAGATGCACCGATTTTTTCGATGTTTTTTTAGATCGTGATGATCTTTCCAAAATAATTCTCGAAGAAACGGCTTTTTTGCTAATTTCATTGATTTTCCACGAATTGTAATTTCGGTTTGAATTATGAGTATCGTACCAAGATTTATTAATAACGCAACCCCATTAAATGGTACTTCCCACGGTTAAAGAGATCGTATTCCTTGAAACTTGAAAATATTATAAAATCAAGCTCATAAATCAAGTCAATTTATCCATGGCATTGCATCGAATATTCCATCGCGTGTTCAGACTAAATCAATTATTGCCCCCTTGGATTTTGAATTCAAAGAATCGAGAGCATGTTTCAATTACCACGAAACTATAAGCATGTGTCCGTTTGTGTTGATAAAATGAAATTAATAAAGAGCGGGCGAATCAAATTCAATAAATAAAAGAGTTGGTAAATGAACACCTGCGAGTGCAATACGTTATATTGCGCATGGTGATAAGGCTTTTTTCTTCTCTCATTTCTCGTTTCTGATTCTAATTAAAGTTTCACGGCGCAAAGTTAGTCTCATTATCACCGATCCACCTTCATTTTTCTCAAATGAATCTCCGTGAAAACCAACTTTTTGGCTCTTTTAGTTTCATCCTCCTGTAAATTGTCAATTACAATCTATGAAAATGTACGTTTACTGGTAATGCCTCTGTGAGATGTTTTTTTATCGGAAATTTCTTGCTTCACAATTGATCCTGAATAGAATGAATTCTACTGGTGAAATCGATAGTTCCCAAGAGATATTGAGGATTAAACGATTAACCCA